AAAGAATCTAAAGGATTGCTCTATATGAGAAGATCCTTTTGGTTGCCCCCCCCCCCTCATCTTCTGGATTAGAGGAGAATTCCCCTTCCTCTTTTTCACTACGTGGCAGGGAGGCATCACAGTCATCCTCAATGGGATCATCATACACATAAGGCTCTCCCGGAAATTCCTTTTGGGCAGCTTTAGTAGGCCAGCAGCCTCCCCCGCATCGTTTGTCTGGGGGGGGGAGGGAGAGGAGGAGGGAGATCTGGCACGGCGGGAAGTCCGCTCTTTCGCCATGGAATAACGACCCATCTCCTCCCTCATAGCCCTCCGAAAAAAGACCATTGCTCTGGGCGAAATGGGGGGGGGGGTTTGTCGTCAACATTACCCTGGTCGTCTTCCACCTCCGATCCCTGTGCAAAGCTTGCCTGGATATGAATCTGGCCTTCCCCGCACTGACCAGTGGTCTCGGGGGTATAAGTTTGCGGGTTTGAGCCACTAAGGGCATTCCCGTCTTTGCTGCCTGTGCGGCGATTTTTCTCCAAAAAGGACGCCGCCTGCCGGCCGGGCTCCACTTAAACACACACCAAACATCTGGCGTGCTTAGAATTGCCGCTCTCACTGTGCGCTCTTTCGCGATGTCTGGGCTCGGACGAGGCCCGTGTTCTATTACTGCGGCTGTGACGATCATGGGGAGACCCGCGGCAAAAGAGGTTAAAGGGTACAATTTCTTAACAGTTCGAGGGATTGGCCTGCTAAACAGAGGTTTATCCCATAGCGATTCCTCGTGAGTAGGAGGAGGATTTTTACTCCCAGCCACTTAAAGGCTCCAGAGTCTGATCTGTTTACTAGGCCTGTGGGCCTCTGCGAAAGCTGAGGTAAAGTGAAGAGAAACAGTTTCTTTTTTCCTTTTTTTTTTTTTTTTAAAGAGTGAGAGTGAGAAGAAAAACAGTTAGGAAAGTTAATAAAGCAGAAAGGATTTGCTAGTATAGTCTAAAAGGTGAGTGTTAGGCGAGCCCTAACACTAAGCTGCTCTCCCTACTGAGGCAGGAAAGAAACTGAGCCAGGGGTGACTCCCACCACAGGAAACAGGAAGAAGTTGAACTTAGTCCTGCCTCCCTGAAGATGGATGGGAATCACCCATACAAGATGTCCTCCACCTCAGAGGGAGAAGACAGGGTATAATGTTTGTTATGATGAGTAAAGTTTTAGATGCCGTTTGGCATGAAGCATGATTAATCTTGCCATTAGTTCATCCAACGTAACTGCCGCTCTTTTGGAAGGAGACAGAACTACTCATTCTGTCATCAAACTGCCATTAAATATGGCGAACAGAGCAAGAAGGGCTGAGAACCTATTAGCCACAAGGTATAGATAGGGGCTCTGGGGCAAGTGATGCTCTGTCTTCTTGGTGCTTGGGGGGGGGGTCAACAGTGGAAGGGCTTCTAGTGTCCTGGCCCCACTGCTGGACCTCCTGATGGCACCTGGTATTTCTGGCCATTGTGTGACACAGAGTGTTGGGCTGGATGGGCCTTTGGCCTGATCCAACATTGGCGTCTCTTATGTTCTTATGTAACCTAGTCCTAAACAACATCACCTATTAATCCCAAAGGTGTGTGATGCCCCTCCGTAAGACCTGTTCACAGGGTAGGACAAAGAACTCGACATTTCATAATAGATTCATCTGGGTCGGCATGTCGGTCTGAAGAAGCAGAACAGGGTTTGAGTCCAGTGGCACCTTTAAGACCCACAAAGTTTTAATAACTTGTAATTCAGCAAGCTCCAGTTCCAGTCTGTCACTGCTGAATTACCAGTTATTAAAACACTCGGGACAATGGAACCCCCAGGGCTTAAAAGAGATATCAGTTTCTTATCTCACTATACCTGCTATGTTAATCAGTTTTTGCTTATACCTGGAATTAAACTTTTTTGCTCTTAAATGTGCTACTGGACTCAGACTTAGTTAACTCTTTTATTGTCTGTATGCCAATTTGCTGCTACGCACAATGCGTTATTCCAATCTTAGCTCGATCAGTTATCTTTAATTAGCCCGTCCTGGAAACCATCTACTTATATGTAACATTTGAGGAAATCTATTTCAGTGTCTCTAAGAAGTGTGCATCTACACATGCTAAATTTTCTCAGTTCTTGCTTATACCCAGAATTGAACTTCCTTGGTCTTAGAGGTGCCAATGGATGTAAATTCAGCTCCCACATTTGTTTGTTAACTCTTGTATTTGTATTCTAAAGGTAAAGGTTCCCTTGCTCGAAAGCCAGTCGAATCCGACTCTAGGGTTGCGGTGCTCATCTCCATTTCAAAGCCGAAGAGCCAGCGCTGTCCGAAGACATTTCCGTGGTCATATGCCCGGCATGACTAAACACCAAGGCGCACGGAATGCTGTGACCTTCCCACCGGAGTGGTCCCTATTTATCTACTTGCAATTTCTTGCTTTCGAACTGCTAGGTTGGCAGGAGCTGGAACTAGAGACAGGAGCTCACTCCGTTATGCGGCAACCCGGGTCTCAAACTGCTGAACTACCGACCTTCCACAGCCTGCAGATCAGCGTCTTAACCACTTGAGCCACCGCAGCTCCATTTGTATTCTAACTGACTGCTATTCACAAATCCTACCAACCACTTTAATCCAATCTCAGCTATAAATGTCCAGTTACTTACATATCTTGACTCAAAGTAGCCCTACCTGGCACTAACCAACCCCATATGTAATGGTTGAGGACCACTTGTCTCACTGTATCTGAAGACGTGTGCATGCACAGAAAAGCTTATACCTAAAATAAAATTTTGTTGGTCTTAAAGGTGCCACATTTAATAATAAACTGTATTCCAAATATTTTAGCGCAGAACTGAATATGCCTTAAACAATACCAGTTCAACACCTGCATAATACAGGGCTGAAATAACACAAAGACTCCAGATGATGGTGCCAGGTGTCAAGACTCCTGGGCAAGTTATTCTCAACAACACTGTGCTGGCTCAGCCGGTCACCATGGTTACCATGCATGGGAAACTGGAGATGCAGTCCGAAAATCAAGTCAAACAACGGAGCTGAAGGTCAGAAAGCCGGGAAGTCAGTCAAAGGTTGCAAGAGTTAGGAGCAGGAAGCGGATGCTACAGTCAGAATCAGATCCGAGCATGCACGTTGCTTCCGCACTGAGGCAGGTGCATGAGGGTGTTTATGACTAGGTCCTCCCTTCCCTGGGAGTCAATCTGCCAAGACTCACAGCCCCTCACATTGCCTTTGCAAGAGCTGCAGGCTGGCACTCTTCCTTCATTCTTGCATATCCAGCTGCTGGTGTGCTTAGCATCTGGGACACTCAGGTGAACTAGGTGGGGATTCTGGCCTCGGGGTGTCTCCAACGGGGGGGGGGGGGCTGGGCCAGGTTCTGGATCAGTTTCTCCCTCTGGCTGCACCTCCTGTGCAGCTGCTGGGGCCTCTTCTCCCTCAGGTGCTGCTAAGGGTCCCTCTGCTGGGCTGACTCCAGAGGAGGCTGGGTTGCTCCATGCTTCTTCCTCATCTGAAGAGTAGTCAGCCTCAGCAGAGCCAGTACCCACGACAAACACTCTCTTTGGCAGTGATATGTTTATTGAGTTAATAGCAAGTTCCAGGTCAACAGTAGTGTGTCAGAGTTAAAGATTTTGGCGGGTACAATCAAAACTATAGGTGATTCAAACATAACCCTCCTAAGGCCCACTCATATGTCACATCCACTCTGCCTAGCTCCAGCGTCTCTACCCCCCCCCCTTTCACCTGGGAATGTATATGATCCCATTATCTACTTAGCAAGCTGGCACCAGAAGTCTCAAGGACATTCCTCTGGGAACAGAGGAAGGCTTCTTCAAATTATGCTTCTAAAATAGAGCAGCCACACACTCCACACTCACCCCCCCCAACCTAAGGAATTCTCCTCCCCCAGCATCTACAGCAAACTGAGCAGAGCAAGATTTGACACCAGGTAAGGTTGGGCTTGAGGCTAAAGATCTACCAGTCCTTGAAACATTTGTATGGTTCCTCTCATGTGTGAATTCTTTCATACAAAACAAGGCTTAGCATTTATATGGTTTCTCACCTGGGTGTGAATTCTTAGGTGTTCCTAAAGATATGCCTTTGAGGGAAGCTCAAAGTGGTTATTTGGTCCCCTTCCCAGTGTGGATTCGTTGATGAACAGTTAGGCTGTCACTCCGAGCAAAGGTCTTTCCACACTCCAAGCATTTATATGGTTTCTCCCCTGTATGGATTCGTTGGTGCTTAGTAAGCTGTGAACTCTGAGCATAGTTCTTTCCACACTCCAAGCATTCATATGGTTTCTCCCCTGTGTGGATTCGTCGATGTATAGTAAGGCGTGAACTCCAAACAAAGCTCTTTCCACACTCCAAGCATTCATATAGTTTCTCCCCTGTGTGGATTCGTCGATGTATAGTAAGGTGTGTATGCTGAGCAAAGCTGTTTCCACAATCCACACATTTATATGGTTTCTCCCCTGTGTGGATATGTTGATGGTTACTAAGATGTGCACTCCGAGAAAAGATCTTTCCACACACCAAGCATTTATATGGTTTCTGCCCTGTGTGGATTCGTTGATGGTTAGTAAGCTGTGAACTCTGAGCAAAACTCTTTCCACACTCCAAGCATTCATATGGTTTCTCCCCCGTGTGGATTCGTCGATGTATAGTCAGGTGTGAACTCCGAGCAAAGCTCTTTCCACACTCCAAGCATTCATATGGTTTCTCCCCCGTGTGGATTCGTCGATGTATAGTAAGGTGTGTACGCTGAGCAAAGCTGTTTCCACAATCCAGACATTTATATGGTTTCTGCCCTGTGTGGATTCGTTGATGGTTAGTAAGCTGTGAACTCTGAGCAAAACTCTTTCCACACTCCAAGCATTCATATGGTTTCTCCCCTGTGTGGATTTGTTGATGTATAGTAAGGTATGAACTCCGAGCAAAGCTCTTTCCACACTCCAAGCATTCATATGGTTTCTCCCCAGTGTGGACAGATTGATGTGTAGTAAGGTGTGAACTCCAAGTAAAGCTCTTTCCACAATCCAAACATTTATATGGTTTCTGCCCTGTGTGGATTCGTCGATGTATAGTCAGGTGTGAACTCCGAGCAAAGCTCTTTCCACACTCCAAGCATTCATATGGTTTCTCCCCTGTGTGGATTCGTCGATGTATAGTCAGGTGTGAACTCCGAGCAAAGCTCTTTCCACACTCCAAGCATTCATATGGTTTCTCCCCAGTGTGGACAGATTGATGTATAGTAAGGAGTGAATTCCAAGCAAAGCTCTTTCCACAATCCAAACATTTATATGGTTTCTGCCCTGTGTGGATTCGTCGATGGTTAGTAAGCTGTGAACTCTGAGCAAAACTCTTTCCACACTCCAAGCATTCATATGGTTTCTCCCCAGTGTGGATTCGTCGATGTATAGTCAGGTGTGAACTCCGAGCAAAGCTCTTTCCACACTCCAAGCATTCATGTGGTTTCTCCCCAGAGTGGACAGACTGATGTATAGTAAGGTGTGAACTCCAAGCAAAGCTCTTTCCACAATCCAAACATTTATATGGTTTCTGCCCTGTGTGGATTCGTCGATGGTTAGAAAGCTGTGAACTCTGAGCAAAGCTCTTTCCACACTGCAAACATTCATATGGTTTCTCCCCCGTGTGGATTCGTTGATGTATAGCAAGGTGTGAACTCCGAGCAAAGCTCTTTCCACACTCCAAGCATTCATATGGTTTCTCCCCAGTGTGGACAGATTGATGTATAATAAGGTGTGAACTCCAAGCAAAGCTCTTTCCACAATTCAAACATTTATATGGTTTCTCCCCTGTGTGGATACGTTGATGGGTAGTAAGAGTTCCATTCCGTGCAAAGCTCTTTCCACACTCCAAGCACTTATATGGTTTCTCCCCTGTGTGGATACGTTGATGGGCAGTAAGTTGTGAACTGCAGGCAAGGCTCCTCCCACACTCCAAGCATGTATATGGTTTATCTGCTGTATTAATTTTTTGTTGTCTATCGCACATCTGGGATTCAACAACTTGAGGAGAGGATTCATTCCCCCTCTTCCAATTTATTACACTGATTCTTTTCTGCTGTTTTTTCTCAAGTAGGCAGTGTTGTTGTTCTCCCTTGGACTTGTTCTCGTATCTGGCACAGTCTAGAATGAAGAGAAAAGACAGGTAAGACCTTCAGAAAAAAACCAGAAGCAAGAAAAGAAGTCCATTAACTGCTCGGCTATATGACAGGACAGAAATCACATGTCAGGGAAACAAAATCTGGCCTCTATTCATCAGCTCATGATTGTTCCTTGGAGGGTAGCTCCATTGGAGACAAGGCGGACCAGTGGAACCTCCTTGTGTAGAGGCAGTATCTCTCTGACGAGGGATGCTTTGGATCTGCTCCTTTTCTTGTGAAACTTCCAGGGACTCTAGGTGGTCACTGTGGGAAATCAGGACCTAGACTAGACGGTGTCTCTCAAATTGCTTCTTGTATTCAAGGAAAAAAACTAAACTGCATTTCCTGGACAGTGAGTTAGGAGCAGAGGTTTAAACGTTCATGACAGACCCAATCTGAGCTCCAGACTTACAAAGCCCTGTGTTCTGTGACCTGGACTTCAGAGCTGAGGCGGAGGTGACTAAAGACTGTGCATTTTTAGTGGTGGCCCCTCGTCTGGGGAATGTCCCCTATCTGGAGTTCACCTTCCTATCTTTTTAGAGCCAGGTCAAAACATTTCTTTTCAACTGAGTTTTAACTTAGAAGCTTATTGTTTTAACTGTTTATGGTCTTCTAACTTGAGGACTCTTTCAGGAAATTTCTGAGGCAACTCAGAGGGGGCTCTCATTACAACCTTGGCTTTTTAAATGGATTATTTGGCAGTATTTAGGATCTTCTGGTATCGTTTCAATTTTTGAACCTACTTGAGCAGATCTGTGGAGAGGCAGCATACAAATAAATCAATGTTTATTAAAGCCGAGTACTGTATAAACTCCCCACCACCACCACAAGTACAAATAAGCCAGCATTTTGTTCCCCATTTTAACTTCTCTTTCAAACTTCATAAAGATTCCCTAGCTATTCCCAAGCTGTTGCCTTTTGATTGCTGAGTGCAAACAGTTTCTTGGTTCCCAAGCTGCAAACAGTTTGTTTGTTTGTTCCCAAACTGGTGAAATTTAGCCCAAGAGCAGACCTAGCCGAATGCACCAGAGCAAGGTTCCCACTACAGAGGTAAGCAGATACCTGCTGATCTCTTTCTTTCTTCTGGGTCCTGGACAAGCAGATCCCCCGTTTCTTCCATTGTGGATATGGAATCAGGTTTGGGGACCAGAAATCCTCCTTTGGGAAGAAGAAACAGACCAGTGACTTCCAGATGTTCCAACTCTAAGAAACATTCAGTCTTTTAAACGAGGCTATCTGAATCCAAATGGAAAAGGGAAGAAATCAATCTTTTTTTTTGGGTGGTGGTGGTTATTTTTTGTATTTTGTGTGTTTGTGTGCATGTGTGTGTGTGTGTTTGTGTGTCTGCACCTGGAAGTAAGGTTGCCAAGTCTGTTTTCAGCTGGAGCGGGGGGTTCCCGGCCGGCGTCTGGAGCGCGCACGTGCACGCCGCATGCACATCACCCAGAAGTGACATGAGGACGCCAGGCACGCTGGGGGCGGGGCCACGGCCATCCGAGGGAAAACCATAGAGTTTTCCCTCGGATGGCTGTGGCCCTGCCCCCAGCGTGCCCCGCGTGGTCGAGTCACTTCCGGGTGACCCGCACGTCAGGGTGGAGTTCCCCCCCGGGGCCCGATCCCCGGCGGCGGGGAATGGGCCTCTGAGGCGGGGTTTTCCCCACCCCCCGGGAGGACTTGGGAAGCCTACCTGGAAGTCATATTGACCTCTAGTGACTGACCCCTACCAGGGGCCTGGAGGATATTCACAGAGGTGACTAAAGCCTGCCCCTGTTCTCCTGACTTTGTATTCCAAGGAAGTCTCCCATCTAAGTACTAACCACAGTCAACCCTGTTTGGCTTCTGAGATCTGACGAGATCGGGCTTGCCCTCTCCAGGTCAGGGCGAGAAATCAATTTTTTAAACTCCTGAAAGATGCATGCAGAGGGAGGGGAGAGGGGGCTACTGCTGGGATCCAGAAGGATCCCTCTGCTGATCCTGCTGGTAGCCTAAAGTGGAGAAGACGGGAGCAGGGAAGTCCAGCAAAAGGAAGGGAAGCCCAAGGCTACACAGAGCCAGTGGGATACGGTATCTCCACCCCCGCCCAAGGCAAGCGGGATCCAACATCCCAGTATGACACCATCTAGGGCAGCTCTGGCACAAGGCTGCTGTTTAGGGTCCTTTCCCTTTGAAGATGTATGCCATCCGGGCCTGTTGATTTCTCAGTTTTTAATTTGTTCATCAGTCGTAGGACTTTCTCTCTTGTCACCTCAATCTAGGGTTGCCAAGTCGAAATATCTCCTTACCGGGGGACTCCCGGTTTGTGGCTAGAGTGTGCGCCCGCGCGCCGCACGCACATCACCAGGAAGTGACGTTATGACGCCGGGCACGCTGGGGGCGGGGCCACGACCATCCGAAGGAAAACCATAGAGTTTTCCCTTGGATGACCGTGGCCCCGCCCCCAGCGTGCCTGGCATCATAACGTCACTTCCTGGTGACGCGCATGCCGGGGTGGGGTTCCCCCCGGGGCCTGATCCGGCGGCGGCGGGGAACGGGCCTCTGGGGCGGGGGTTTCCCCGCTCCCCGGGGGGACTTGGCAAGCCTACCTCAATCCAACTCAGGTCTTTCAACACCCCTCCTGAAATCAACAGTTCTGGAGTGGGCAAGCACCTCCCACCTTCCACAGTGAAGACAGAGGCAAAAAAGAAATTCAGCTTCTCTGCCATTTCCCTATCATTCCTTAAGTAATCCTTTTATCCCTTGTTCATTGTTATGTACGCGGACTGCCACCAGGGGTCCATGGCTAAAGCAGAAGCTGGGTCCCCAAACACAAAGGGGACCTAGGATCCTAGTCCACCTTGAGTCCACCAATAGCACCCTTGGCGGGAAATTCAAACCCTCCAATGGGAATATAGGTGTGCCAGGTGGAGTGTATATAGTTGGCCTTGCAGGGCTGTCTACTTTGTCTTGTTGTGGAGTACAATAAACGCGTCTGAATGCATGTCGTAGTCCGAGTCCTCCATGCGGCGAGCCCAGTACTTTACAGTCATGCAAGGACTGCCTCCCTGGCTGGTTTTCTGCTACTAATGTATTTGAAGAAATTTTTATTGTTGGTCTTGATGTTTTTTGCAATATCTTCCTCATAGTCCCTTTTTGCTTGTCTGATCACTTATTTACATTTTATTTGGCACAGCCCGTGCTCCCTTTTATTTACTTCACTCGGACTAGCCTTCCACCACTTAAAGGAAGCCTTCTTACAGTTTACTGCTTCCAGTACTTTGTTCATTAACCATACAGGCCTTTTCTTATACCTATTTGTAGCTTTCTGTAGTGTATTCAAAGCTGCCTTGAATGCATGAGATGTTGTGAAACATCTAATTGAAGTGTAATGTAAAGCTTCATCCTGGGCTAGGATCCAAATCCATCCAATCGTGTTACTAGCCCAGGAAGCACCTAACCAATCACTTTCAAGCAAGTTCCCTGAGCGGGAACATCCGTGATTGATCCTTATGTGAACAACCTTATTGGTTGGTATTTGTACAGTGGGTGTGGCTACATTAGCCAGGAATGTTTAAAAGCAGGACAGATGCAATGTAAAGGCTGTTCTGGCTATCAGATGTTGATCCGTGTTGGAGTTGTGTTGGAGTTGAAGAATAAAGCTGTGTTCTTGCTGAATCACTCTCCGACTGCTTTCTTAAGCGAGCGACTTAACACTTTCCTAGCCTGTGGTATACATATGTTCTGAGCTTCTAGGATTGTAATTTTAATAGACTCCAAGCTTCCTGAAGGGACCTGACCTTCCTTTACCTTTCTTTTTAGTTTCTTCTTCACAAGCCCCCTCATTTGAGAGACGTTACCCCTTCTAAAGTTAAATGTCGTTTTGTTGGTCTTTTGGGGGCAACTCCCTATGTACATAAATGTTGAATTTAATAACATTATTGTCTCTTTTCCCAACCGGTGCTCTCACATTTAGGTACATCTCTCACCAGGTCTTGGGCATTACTTAGGGCCAAATCCAGGACCGCCTCTCCCTGGTAGGTTCTGTGACCATCTGCTCCATGGCACGGTCACTGACAGTATCTGGAAACCCAATCTCTTTCTCCTGACTTGAACACGTATTGACCCAATCAATGTAAAGTAAAGGTACAATTATTTTGTCTAGCTGTTTTCCTTAATTCTTTTGCTGTTTTTAGATCATCCTCTAACCTTTGAGCTTGTGGGCAATAAACTCCCAAACTTAAGCTTCCTTTTGGGCACACTATTTCCACCCACAGCATTTCTGTAAGCGAATCTACTTCTCTTACATTCTCAGTTTTACCGGACTGTATACTCTCTCTGGCGTACAGAGCTACTCCACCTCCGACCCTTCCCTCCCTACCTTTCTGATATAATTTATATCCAGGAATCACTGTATCCCACTGATTATCCTCATCCCACCAAGCTTCTGAAATTTCCACAATGTCTATGTTTTCCTCTGACACTAAGCATTCCAGCTTCCTCATTTTTTATTCTATTTATCAAATTTATACCCCGCCCACCCAGCCAAGGCCAGCTCAGGGCGTCTTACATAAAAATAAGACACATGAATACCTGTTAAAACAGAGCCACTTTGGTGTCGTGGTTAGGAGCGTGGACTCTAATCTGGGAGAACCGGGTTTGATTCCCCACTCTGCCACATGCAGCCTCTGGTGTGACCTTGGATCAGTCATAAGGTCTTTCAGAGCTGTCCTCTCAAGGGCAGTTCTCTCAGAGCTCTCTCAGCCCCACCTACCTCACAGGGTGTCTGTTGTGGGGGAGGGGAAGGGGAGGGGGTTTGTAAGCCGCTC